AACACAAAATAAAATTGACTTCTATGTTGCAGTCTTGGAACAAATGTATGTATCTGTAGAGCTGAAGCTATTGGAACTGGGCAGTGGTAGCAAGAAACTCCTCAAAAGGCAATTTTTAAACACCTACATAGTAATTACATAACCTTAGTCTTTGGATCAGATTTTTCTGCTACACTGTCTTAATTTGGAAAGCCAAAGCTAACTGCCCAAGGCTGAGAAGCACTTTTAGGTTTTTTTAAAAAAATCAGTTCTATGTAGCTGCTCTTTGTGACTGTTTAACTTAATTTCCCAAAACACCTATTTAGCAATAAATTGTGTTTATTGTAAATTCAACGTGCAGAGCAGCGGAAAAAAAAAACCACAACACCAAAACAATCTGACCAGCATTTTTATAGTTACTCTTTATTACAACCATTATTTTTAATAAAAGCTCCTAGTTTAGGATTTTTCTTTTCCTAATTGCTAGTTTTTTCCTCATTTTAAGCATATATTCTTCACAGCCAAATTTTATAGTTCTGCATTTTGCCATCAGTTTATATTTTAATCCAAATGGTTTTACATTTTTCTATTAAGGAAATAGTCATAAAAGATTATTAGTGTTGCTTTGGAAAATAAAGAAATTTTCCTTTAAAGAGGAGATTTAATCACAATATCAACTTTCTTTCACAGTTTTTCAAGCATTGGTGCTTTATCAATTACAGAATTGTGTAATTCTCACTTAAAACTGTGCTAGAAACATGAATAAATCACAGCAATGAAATTGCTATATATTATACATTCTTTAAGAATGCATTTAAGATGGCTGTTTCTTCCCAGTTGCAAACAGAGCAAGAACAAAGAAATGCCTCCCTGTTTACTCAGTGTTAAGTGCAAAACATCCCTGTGATTCTTTAGCTCAACAAGGGTATCAGCTGTTTTAACATCCTTCACATCTAAAAATGATGTTCTTACATAAGTATAAATTACAACTTCTTTGATTTGTAAGAAGTAACATTTAAATCAAACCCTTTGTTAATTTCTTCATTCCAAGCAGTGCACCTACACACCTAAAGCTGCACCATTAGCTAACAATTTGGTGTTTCGGTGTCCTCTAGCAGTAAAAGATTAGACACTGATTGCTGCTACAAGATATACTGAAATACAACAATAAAACTAAAAACAGTAAAAACTTTGTTTAAGGTAAAGGTAAATCACCTTAAGGACAAGAGCACTCTAAAGTACAATCTGATTTGGAATTTGTTTCTAGGTCAGGAAATTTTTATTGAAAAGCTGAAATGAAGCAATTAAATAAGGATTGCAATTCAAAAAAATTGAACATGGCTGCTAGCTAAAAGACATGCCAAATATCTGAACTATGATGTAGGTGAGCCTAACTCAATTAGGCTCAGGGATACACCAAAATTAACAACACATATTTCAAAACTATTTGGAGAGAGCTTTCCTCCACTAGCTGGACTGAAGTATGGTATTTAGCTTCTTCATGTGGGATTTCTATAGACATTAGACATGTCTCTGATTTGAAGAACTCTATCATCTGCATTACCTCACCTCAATAATGCAATAATGAGAATAAAAAGAGAAAAATAAGCCAAGTTCTTTTTATATTTCCTTGCCTCAGAGAAAACTAGTTTCAAATAATTAGGTGTTTACACATAATAGCCTATTTTCTTAAAAAAGGATTTGTTTGAGTATTTTTAGATCAAATTACTTTTTCTGTGAAAGTCACATGCAGAAAATTTACCCTTTTGTGTTTTTTAGCAAGCAAGCCTAGCATAAAATCAAATATTAATGAGAAAAGCTAATTCTACTGCATGTCAAATATTTAACTCTGGAATTGATATTGGAGACTCCTGGATCAAAGTCAATATAGTGGGATATGTAAGAAAGATTTCAGAATGATTTTCAAAGATATGGAATGAGCTGTTAAAAAAATTCATTAGTGAAAAGAAATGCACTTGCACAGCTGGAAAGCTCTTGAGCCTAAGATCTAAACTTTTTTCAAATGCTCAAGGAAATCTTTATTAAGCTATAATTATTTCCTAAGTCTCTGAAAACATTCTACTTTACAGAGCTTATGTGACTGGTCAATCAACATACCACACACCACTCAAACCAAGCCAACACTTGTTGCAGAATTTCTTTTCCATAAGCTAAAAAATCAAACACAAGCTCAGTTTTTTTCCAGAGGAGATAAGAGTACTGTGAGAATCCTTCTCATTTCTTTTTTGAAAGGCTTAAAATAAATTCATACACTTTACCTGGCCAAATAATGTCCAGACACTTCTACAAACAAATTTATAGGACAAACAAATTTACAGCGTGCATTTTTCTAAATGACTCAAGAGTTCATCTTAAACTGATCTAAAGTGAAGAAAAATAATAATTGATCTCAGTAATTCTTCAAAAATAGACTGAAAGACTGATTTAAATCTACAATAACCTGCCAGATAACCAAAAGGCAGCAACACACAATACCTGAAGAGGATATTTTCCTTTTTTACCATCACTACAGTATTTACTTCATTATTTAAATAGAGGAAAAAAGGTGATAAACTGTAGCACACCTGTGGAATTTCTATAGAACTGCTGCTTTTTGCAGTGGTAAGAAGAGCTTTTAGCGTGACCTTTAAAGAAGGCCGTGTCTTGCAGTAATTTCATTTCTCAGATTTTAATAAGGAAGCACAAGTAATATGGAAAGAAGCAGCATCTTACGAACATAAAGTAAAACAAACATACATAGGGTGGATGAAGAAGTGACATAAAATGTTTACGTGCACCAGGACTCCTCGTTACATAGTAGCACACAAACAGCAGACTTCTCAAAACTTTCAGCTGCATGATACTCATGTATATCTACACTGCAGATTTTGTATGCTCACTGTTTGAACAATAAAGGAATATAAGAGCTACAATACTAGAGACGTCAATCAAGATGCTGTTGGAGAACACCCCAAGATGAAGAACTCTGTATTTAAACAAGTGCTTGAAGAAAACAAACAAACCGACTCAAATGTACTTTGTTCATAGGGAACTCTTTGTCCTTCTAGCTGTTCCAAGGAAAGAGATTTATAGTGGGTCCACCTTCAGAAATATAACGTACTTGGCAAGTGCAGAACAAGAGCACCACTCAGTGGAACTATCAGAGAAAATAATACTGCTAAAGTCTGTGTTACCTATTCATAGCCCAGCAACAAAAACGAGTTGAAGGTACATGAAATTACATTTCCATTAGTATCTTATTTCATTTTCCAAAAATACAAATTATAATTACAAAAAGGAAGACATAGAGTCACCTGTCACTGTTCAGTTTTTGGAATCACCAGCATCTCCCAAAAACACTAAAGCCTGACTGTATCAGATCTCAAAGTATTACTTAAGTCTTTAGACTTCAGAGATAAAACTTAACATGCTTCATAAAGCTTGTCAGCTAGACATTGACAATATGCCTTTAAAATGCCAGCTACATTTACACCTGCATAAAATACCAGCAGAGGATGTAAGATATCCCTACTTCCACATATAAATTTTTTGTTTTTTCTGTATAAATTTGAATTTTACAGTTCCAAAGAAAAGCTTCAAATACAAGTGCTTGAATGTTTTGGTTTTCACTATTTACCCACTGAAACTTGAAACGTTTTGGAATGAGGAATTAAAATGAGTGCGTCCTGTGGTAAGGCCAGAGGCAGGCCAACCAGAGTGTTTCCATGGGTACTGGGTCCAGGTATTACCTTTTCCATGGCAGCCTGTGGAGTGCTGTGTTTTAGGTCTATGCCTAACCCAGTGTTGATACCACACTGGTATCAGCAGTGTTTGCATGGCATCAAGGCCTTCTCTGTAACTCTGCTCCCCCAGCAAACGGGCGGAGGGTGTGCCAGATGCTGTGAGGAGACACAGCTGGGACATCACCTTGCTTGCCTTGCCTGAGAGAGTTATGATATTCCTGTCACAAAACACACAACAGCTCTGGTGCAGGACCCTCCTAAGGTTGTCCTGTGGCTCCATATGCTGACCACTGTGTTCAGAGTGAGAATCTACAGCAGGTGTGAGTCACAGGAAAGAACTTCTGGTTGCAGTAAAGCTTCTGTGCATCCTAGCTAAACATGATAATCCAAAACTGTACACTTGTAGTTGCTGTTAAAAAGGTATAAAGTGATCAGACAGAAAGTTATCCAGTCAGGGTTCACCTGAATCTCTCACAACACAACATACTTTGCAGCATAAAATGCTGGGTAACTCCAAAAACTGTGAAGAAACATTCTCTAAGAACAGAACTGCTACTGTCCTATCTGGTTAAACGTTAAAGGATGATTCTATAAAAAACAGAGTTCCAGTGAATCGTAAGTTCTCATATATTTCTCCTTGAACCCAGTTGTGCTCTAGTGAACACTTGAAAACTAAATCATCTCCATAAAACTGTATTTAAAAATACACTTTGCTACAATCCTAATTTTGACCCTTTAGTTCACTAATCATTTAATGCAAATAAATAAGCCGATAACATGTTCCCTCCTCATGATCCCCTCTCAGTGAGGATTAGAGCATATTCACAGTGAATCTGTGTTGCCAGTTGCCTGACACATAAAATGTGGGACATACATATGGGATAACTGAGTAACACAGTCTGTGGAGTTCTCATGGGGATGGAGCCCATTGTCCCTGTTTGGGAAGATGTCCCTCCTTCTGCCTCACACACAGCAAATCCATAATTAAAGTATCTGCAGATGCTGGTAGTGCCCATATGATAGAATGGTTAATGATTTTATTTTCCCAGGGTTCTACTTCTCTAAATGAGAAATATATCCATATCTGTCCTACAATGCACCCCAAAATAAACAATGAGGAGTGCATTTTACAGCTAGAAATCCCAAACACACAATACATTCATACACTCTCTTCTAATTACACTGAATTTCTAGGACACAGATTGGTTCTCTGGGAAATGTGAAAATGTCCAGTACTCAAACACAGCAGAATCTGCTTTAGTCACCATAATGAATTACCTGGTAAATCAGTCTTCATAATATCAATGCCAACTTGAAGCTCAGGCTCAGCTGCAAGGACTGCATAATCTCCTTGATGAGAGATATTGAAGTTGTAATTTGAGTTGATGCTGAGTAAGTTACTGGCCAGGAAAGGTTTTCCTTTTGGTGTCCTTTGCAAGTGTACTTCATTCCAAGGTATGCACAGCTCTTCTGCAATTAATTTCCTCATCAGTAGGCGACCAGCCTATGAAATAAAATGGAAATAATTCATACAGAACTATTGTGCTACGTGGTTGCTAAGAAATCACCTGCCTAAAAAATGTTGGTTTATTACTGTTGATATCAAGTCATGTATTTTAGCAAAATAATTTAAATTTCTCCCTTTTGTAAAAGCTGTGTCAAGTAAGTTTAAGACGTAAAGTCCATCAGAGTATCAAATACATTGTCACTATTAGCACAATTAACACAAGTCCCAGCCTAGACAAATCACAGTAGTTCTTTTCTATCTTAGTAACTTATTTATGATACTTTATGGCACAAATAAATACTTTTTACACCACCCCAGTAGTAACATTATCTCAACAGCCTTCCTTTCAGTACATCCGTTCACTACCTAGGTGCTAAATGACACACTGAAGACCTAAAAGCGATGAGTAACTCCTTCCAGACTAGTGAGCAGGCACGTATTACTGTATTATTAAGCGATATTTAGACCCTGGATCCTGTAAAACAGCTTTATTCTCCTAGTCGTTACCCCGATGTCCTAGGTACAGTCCCTCAGGGTACGCTGATTTTGTCTCCTGACTTGGTATCACGATTTAGAAGTTGTGAAGTCTTTCAGAGTAGCTACTGACAGCAGCCTGCCGTCCCTCTTGGCCTCTCAGTGAGAGCTTCATACTTTTATACAGCCCTTATCCTCTAGCCTTACATCCCTGAAACGCCCTCGCACGGCATGTTTTCCTGACAAATCAGGAACCAGGGCAGCGCTGACTGTGCAGAGAGACAACCGCGTCCCGGCTCCCCATGTACCAAGGCGGCTTTGGCATCGCGGGCAAACACGAACTGGCCGATGCGCTCCTTCTCCTCGGGCTGCACCAGCTGCGCGGCCAGCAGCCACTCGGGGCGGCGGGGCCGCCATGCCCCGCAGGGGAAGGCCCAGCGCACGCTGCCCATGGCCCGGCCGCGCTCCCCGCGCCCGCCCTTCGCCCTGGCGGCAGCCTATCGGCGTGCGGGACGCACGGGGGGCCCCGCCCCCGAGCGCAACAACCTATCCGCTGTCAGAGTGCCCAGTGAGTGACAGCGCAATGCGCCAGGTAGCGGCCTATCAGGGGAAAGGCGGCGCCTGCGGCGGAGCGGCGCCCGCGCTGTCGTCAGCGGGGACAGACGGGCGGGCTCTCACCTGGAGTGGCGGCCGGCGGGGCCATTCCGAGTGCGCGGAGCAGGAGAATGACGCCGGAAGGAGCCAATCTGCCGGCGCGGCTGCTGCGGAGGGTGGGCCAGACCGGTCGGTGAGCTGCGGGTGTTGGCTGCAGGTGGGTGTGCGCTGCTCGGAGCGAGCGCTCAGGGGGGACTAGCGCTTCGCCGCCTGCGGAGAGGCGGCAGTGGCAGGGAGCGCCGCGTGCCGCGGCCGGGTCGCGCCGTGAGGGAAGGGGATCCCTTTGCCCCATCCCGCCCGCCCGTCACAATTAGTCCTCCCTTAGAATGAACGGGGCGCCGCGGGGCGCAGGCGCGGCGGCATGAGCATGCGCAGTCGGGGCGGGACGGCGCTGCCCTCCCGCGGCGGGCGGGGCGGGGCGATGGCGCCGCCGCTGCGGGGCTGGGCCTGGGGAGGCTGGGGGCGGCCGGTAACCTGGCCGTGGCACGGGGACGGAGATGCCCGCTAAGTTCTGCCCCTCTCGGCTCTGTGAGCACTGGGAGGGGTTACACCCTCGAGCGGGGGCCGGGGGAGGTGGTTCGTGGCAGCGCGCCGCGTTGCGGACAGGTGATGCGCGGCCCATCTGTGCCCTCAGCGCATCCTGCTGAGGTGCTGCCCTCAGCGCATCCATCCTGCCGCAGAGCCGTTCGGGCCCCTGGCAGAGCTGTCGCAGCGGGCTGGGCTCTGTTTGCCTGTTATTGACTATAAAGAGGAGCTGATAGTCCCGAGAGCAGATGCAGAGTGCTGCATTACCCTAGCAGGGTTCTGGCTCCAAAGGATCTGTGCAAACAAAAGCCTCTTGTATCCCGTGCTGATTGTTCTGTTAAGAATTCCAATAGCTGTCAACAGGATTCCTATTTTTCTCAATTATAAGCTATCAGTAAGTCCTCAGAAGGTAATAAATTTGCTTGCCCTATGGTTCTAGAGTTGAGCCAAAGCACCTATTTGAAAATTTAAAACCCATCTTTCTGTTGCTTGCCTTTAGAAATACACAATGAAAATCCATCCTCTATTGACTATGTACAAATGATGGAAAAATGCTGAAAATTTTATTATTTCAGGTATTTATTGCAATCCTCCTTTTTTGTTGTTTAGCATTGCTAGCTCGCTGTTAATATGGAAAACTGCTGTTTCTCCACAGGCCAGAAAGTCTTTTTGTGCACAATAAGTCTGTTATAGCTGAGTATAGATTGATCTTTGCAAAATATTTTAAACACAGAAGTAACATTGAATAATTTTATTGTTTATTATTATTATTAATAATGTTTAATCAAGGAATCAATTGGGTATTTGACTTACTTCAAAATAGTATTCCTATTTTCCTCTATGATTTAATGAAGCAAGGAATGGCATAATCTTATGCATTATGCAAACCATAGACAATGTTAACTGACAGCAGAGGAGGATTTAACACAGTCAGGAAAAAATCCCAGGAAAATGCTCTTCACCAATATCAAACTGTAGCTGAGGCTTACATTTCAAACTTTGTGTTCTCTGCACTTTGAAGAGAAAATTGTGGCATTTATATATTTAGTTACTGATAGATGACAATACTAATGGACTGTGGATCTTACCTACTTCCAGAAAAATGCCTCTGATTTGATTGAAAGGTTTAGCTTGTCCATACTCTCTACTTAAGAGATTTAAACATGTAGCACTTTTCACTAGTGGATTATTTTTTTTTTTTTTTAATGAGCTTTGTGTGTAAATGCAAACTGAAACTCAAGATGCATTGTATGATATGTAATGTAATTATGGATGTATTCAATATAAACCCACACTTTTTAAGTAAAACATGATCTTATAATAAGGCATGCTAAATCATTCTCTAAAGATGCTCAAAATTGCATGCATGTTTTGAAGAAAACCCACATTTTATTCATATGCAAAAGTGACAGACTGCAGAAACCATTAAAAGCTGTCATTTTCTTCTACAAAATTTGCAGTTATTTTCAGCAGAAGTACAGTGTGTCATTTTATTTCCTTTTTTTAAATGAAAATTAAGATTACAGTTCTTGATCTTTTTTGGCTAAGGAAATAATTTGCAAAGTAACTTGGTGAATTGGAGAAATTTAATTTTAAGAGAAAATCCAGCCAGTTTTACTTGTTTTACGTGATTACTGTTTTATCTTTATGGGGACATGCATTTAATGATCACTGCTTGAAGAATGGGAATCTTCCATTTTGGGAATGCCTCCAGGAATTACTGCGATTTCCTTACTTCCTACTGATACCATGCTAGGTTTCTTTCCATGTTGATTTTTTTTTTTAATCACTTCTAAAGAGCACAAAGCTTTAAAGACTCTGTCACCTTTCAATCTGAGAATACTGTCTTAACATCTATTATTGATAAATGTCATTTTTGTGGATTAAATGTCTCAAAATATTCTGAGCATTCTTTTTTTGCTTGTCCTAAAATGATTGACTGTATATTATTTTTCTCTGAAGTTCAGTTATTTTTGAAAAACCTGTGAGACTCAGTTGCATTGAAATTTCCAGGCAGGAACTTGGAATTCTCTTAGTGTTTTCAATCTTAGGCAATCAGTGACAATCAACGCATTAATGAAATATAAAAGCACAGAACTTGAACTCAGTATTTATAGTTTAATTACATTTTAAACCACCCTTGTCTTTTTAGTCAGTAATTAGAAGTGTCACCAAATCCTACAGATATGTGTTCTGCTCATACTCATCTTAATGAATGTTAAATTAGATGCATAGTGTTGAGTGGTGTCTTTAAAACTTATTAACAAGTCATCAATTTCATTTTGAATGGGCAAGGAATGAGAATAGGAAATCATCTTAATGGGTATACACTAGACTCAATAATATAGTACTTTTAATATTAAATCTTAGAATGCTGATCTTCTAGAAAGTTCTCTAGTGAAATCTATACAATTTCTTCGTCTTCATTGTGCTTGAGTCTTTCATCCTAGGTACCTAAAGTGTTCTGTAAAATAAGTCCTGGATTTCCCTTTTGTAAAATCCTGGTCCCTAGTAAGACATGGTATCCAAGCTGGGAGAAGGCCATGCAATAAATATCATGTTCCATTAAAGAACGATTTATTTCTCATAAGTTACCTGCTATGAAGTTCGAAGATTAGTTTTTTTTCAATTGGTGAGTGCTGTAGCACAGCTGTATTGTGCTTTCAGATAAAAGCAGATAGATTGTTTTACAATTGGTTGTAAATAATAAACTACCAAATCAGGGTTGAGTTTAGACTGGTTTTGCTGGCTGTGTTGGAAGAGGAGAGAATGTCTACCTGCACAGTGTTACTTGTCATTTTGGAATGGCCACTCCCTTGTGCTGGGTACAGTCTTGAGCCTCAGTCCCATTCCAAGGGTTTGGTTCTGTTTATTGTCAGGCAGACACAGCCCTTAGGGGCTTTTCCTGGCTAAGCAGGAGCTGAGCTATGTGTGATACTTATGTGTGCTCGGTACTTCCACAAAACAGAATTCCCTAGGCTATTTCAAAGTTACACATATTTGTATGTATATTTTTATCTCACTATTATAAAGTGATCAAACAGTTTGGTGTCTTTACCACTATCTTTCTCTACCCTCATTTGGGTGTTCATGCTTCACTGTTATTACACATTTTTTCCCTAGTTGGTATCTTTTACTTGGTTATTCACCAAAAAATAAGTGCACATCTTCCACCATTCTCGACTTCATTATCATATTTAAGCTTCTGTAACCATTTTATTTATCAGTTGTAGCAGCCAAGGCTCTCTTTTCAGCAGAAGTGTTTATTAATATATGTACATTATGTGAGTGTGTTCACATCAGTGCTTTGGTAGGAACTACAACAGATTCTGCACAAACAAAAGTTCATCTTTGCCCAAAGGTCACTTCACACTTCTATTTGCTTTACTGTTTCAGATCTGGTGGAATGGATGTGAAAGTCATTTTTAGGAGGCGTATTGCAGTGGTTATGATTTTAGTGTATGCCTGTATGTTCTGAAAATGTCTGTCCTGGATGTTTTTGGTCTCCTTTATGAGTTTAACAGTATGCTGTGTTTATAGTCTCCTAATATAATATCTAGGATTCAACATATATCCAGATTATTAAATTAATGTCTAAAGGTAATTTGAACTTCCCAAAGAAAAAGTATAAGAAAATTAATTACACATTTTGGTATCTTCTAAGTCCAGAATTATAAGAACACTTAAGAAGGATTGTTGATGGTGCTAACTAAAAGACAATCATAAATATGTTACATCCTCCATATATCTTTGGAAAGGGAGCATTAGGATTGGTGATGTGGAAAGTTCCACTAGAAATTCAGTGAGATTTTGACAGCTGTTTGCATAGAATCAAGGTCAGTTAAACACTTTCTTGTAGTTTTTACAAATGTTTAGATACTAAGAAGAACATGTGTATATCTCATATTTTGACTATTGTCTTAACAGTGTTCTCAGTGTAGTTACCTGGCATCCGGGTCAATTAACTCATTATGTTTTAGATTACTCTGTCCCTTAGTGTCCTGGAAAAAGGACAGTGTTGAAAGTGGCAAAGGTTTGTAATTAGCTGATCCCTAATTGGGGATGCAAACCCAATTGGGCCCTTCCAACCCAAACCACTCTATGCTTCTACAGCAGAGGGGTCTTATAAAACAGTACAACTAATGAGGTCTGGGCCCTTATTACTGGATTTTGTGACAGATCATAGGAATGCTCTTAACGTCCGAGCTCCCAGGTGGTCCCTTATTTCATCCACCATAATGACCAAAGTAACTTACTATCCCTAGCCTTCTGTTCAACCGCTGGCTGCTCTGTGGCCCTACA